GAGCTTTGGCGGGGGTCAGAGACCACCCCCGCTGGATTCCAAGTTAGGCGACGGACGTGGGGTGTTTGTTTTCATCCGCCGGGTGGAGCTGGCGGGGGGAGCTTCGGGTGACCAAAGGGACCAAATGTGACGCCTTAAGGTCGAACATGTGGAGAGGGGAGACAAGTTGCCAGGGAAAGACGTGAACATCTTAGAGTCTTTGACACATTCTTGAAAGGAAGCATTCTGTTTGTGCTTGATGGGCACCTTTGTTTTTCTACTAGTTATGAGAGTTCGGAACAGACGATCACTGTGATTAGCAAGCTTTGTACCTTAATTACATACTTGCGACAGTTATAGCTCCACCCATTGAGTGTGACTGGTTGGATTCAGTCTGTTTGCACTTAAGTTGAAGACTTGAAGCAAAGCCAAGCCAAGCCACCATACAGCCTTTCGTCACTCTTGCCAGCTAAGTGAAGCTTGACTCAAAGCTTGCTAGGCTTGCTGTACCAGCTGGATCTCATCTTCGAGCCCTGTGCACAACACAAGGCCAAGCAGGACTGAGTGAGTGAGTGAGAAAGTGACAGGAAGGAAGTCAACTCAGCAACTCTTTCGCGGAGCATGGGACAGATTTTTGGAGGTGAAACATTAGTAAAGAACCAGAGACATAGTCTCCATCAATGCGGGCTAGGTTTGGCTCCGCACTTTGCCATCCTTGGGGTCCGGCGTGACGCGTCTCTGTTTTTGTCCACTCCCCCTCTCTGTTGACTGGAGGATTTGTTGGCAGTGCCAGAGACGGTGCTCGAGCAGTTCCTTGGACGAATCGTAGATAACCTGCTGTGGCCACGAATTTCTGAGATGGGACTCTTGGTTAGGAACACGAGGGGATAGGGGATGACCAATGCCTTGGGTTTTTGACACTGAGCCGAGGTACAATGAGCTCATCCAATCTGTTAAGGTGCGTGCGCGTTTTTGTGGGAAATCTGATTGGGTGGAACATGTTCATCAGTTCTGAGTGGAGCCATTGTTTGGTGGCCTCCTCAAGCTGCAACATCTACGGTATCCCACTGAAACTTAGAGGGGCTTTTGTGTGGAGATCAGCAAAAAAAACACTAATCGTGACAACGATTATGATGATGACAACGAGCTATTTTAGTTTTCTGGATGACAAAGGACAGAGGTCCATGTGATGTTTGGAGTAGCGACTGGAGCCTTATTTCATTCACACATTAATGAAGGTTTGGAGCAAGATTAGGACCAACCTGGACCTGGCAGGCTCTGTTACCCGTTTGTTGTTTGTTAGGCCGTGAGCCAGCTACATCCAGTCAGTGACTGTCAGTTAGTCAGCCTGTCAGTCCAGTCAGTCGGTTGTCGCTCTCCGGGGCTGTCCAAAAAGCATCGACAATGGGACAGAAGGGGGTCTAGCAGGCAGCCAACTCAATAATGCCTTCTTGGATCAAAGATTGATCTGTGGGTCAGACTTTCCTCAATTGCTTTGTGATCCTCTTGCGGGTTGGCCTAATTGCTTTGAACTTAGATTCGGTTGCACAGAAATGGCCAACTTGAGCTATTGTTTGGAAGTTGATTGGTGAGTTGCCTGCAATCCAGTCCAAGGATGCCCAAGCCTCTTTGCAGTGTGACAAGTGAGGAATAGTGAGGATGGACCATGGACCATGATTACCACGGTTTTTCTTGTTGGTGTCCAAGCCTGTGGGCCCCTTCATTTGGAGGATCTGCCGCCATTGGAAGCTCCATTGCTCTCTTTGAAGGATGCGCCGCTTGGGTGGAACTTTCAATGAGAGATATGGTCAAAGTTTGGGCCTTCACCTGTGAACTTTCGTGAGTCGGGGGTTGGATCTGAACATGCGAGCCTGTTCTGGCAAAAGGGATCGTAGGCATAAAGTCCAAGCGGATTTTGTGTAAGAAAAAACACATTGATATTGGGAGTGTGGTGGAACACCCCTATGGAACGCCTATATAAACCCTTATGGCAGCCCAAAAAAGCATGGAAACACATTTTTTTTTACTGAGTTCGAAGTGAGTTTGGACAATTCTCCAAACTACAATGACCATGACTCCTTGTCACAGTGGGCGCAAATGCCAGGGTTCCATTTCTTTTTTCCCCAAACAGCGTGGTCACACCAGAATTTCTTAAGGTCGGGTGTTTGATCGGGGACAATGGCATCCGTGTGTGGCTAAGTCGCGGCTATGTACGCTACGTTCGTGCCTCTCAAGATCTTCGAAGCGCATTTCGACTGCGCAAGCTCGCAGAAACTACTGGGCCCTTGCGGGCGCTTTCCTCGATGTGAATCTTGAATGTGCAGGTTTCGTGGCAGGCGCAGCGCTTTGTGGACCTTGAAGCGCAGATTGTGTGGCAGACACAGCACTTTGTGAGCCTTCAGGTGCAGATTTCTTGGCAGGTTGGCAGCTTCATGTTTAATCGCCAACGCAACCGCTCCTTCTGATCGACTCTGAAGGTTGCAGCTGCTCAAATAAAAGACCATTCCAGCAAGGCTGACGTGCGTGAGCTCATCTCGGTGTTGAAAAAACGGCTCTGAGACTTATTTTTGAATGTCAACAGACGCCAATCCAGCAGACTGGCCCCCCTAGAAATGACTCGGAGACAAGGGCGTCCACTCTGCAGCAGGGAGAGAGGCAATAAGAAAGGGGAGAGGCAGTGCAGGAAATCTAGTACGCGAAGGGGCTCAGAGGAAGGCATGCTGCCATTAGAATGGAGATGAAAGGAGCAAACCTGCTTGGGAACGGACGCAGAAAGTCAAAGGTTAAGACAAAAAACTATTTGAGATTGATCATCTGAAAGTGAGAAGTTCCTTCCACCGAAACATCTCCAAACTCAAACCTTGCAGTTCTTTCAAGCTCAAGCCAAACTCAAAAAAACTAGCTGCAAGTCCTGAATATGTTGCTGAGCTTCCAGCGTGAGTCATTTGCTAAATTCAAAACCTGAGTTTATTTTTGAGACACCTTGCAAATGAAGTTTGGTTATAGTTTAGTTTGGGGGATTCTTGGGGCGTTCAGTTTTCGTTATTCACGGCGGTTTCGCTTTACTTACAATACACGCCCTAAGCCGTGATATCTTGTTCTTCAGTTCCACAGACGGCATCGCTACTAGTAACAAGGGCTCGCTATTGTTACTGTATGAACATCGCTCCACTGGGACTTGATGGTGTTCATGCTGGAAGGGCTCAAAGCGCACCAAAGACTTGAATATCGTACATCAACTGATTCGCAACAACCAGGGCGTGTATTTTTCATGCTTCAGACAAACCTTCAAACACACCCATTTCATTGTTGGGCAAACACAAGTTGGAAGTGCATATTTTCGGGTTGAGGTCCAAACAGCACAATTATATATTCTAAATCTTGGCGCAGAGTTCGGGCCGTGACCAGAATCCTTTCTCTGCCGCCCCCAACCTCCAAGGCATTCCGATGGTAGCGGCATCGGCGTGGTTGCTTTGCATGAAGATTAGCGGCATCGGCTGGACTTCACAGCTTTCTGAAACAAGATTGCACATGATGTCCACAGACTTTACCACTGTAAAACCCTTGAAACTCACGGTTCTCGTACTTGTTGTTTTCCAGGGCCGATGTTCATAGACCTTTGACAGAATGGACATCGGAATGGGACTGGGCGAGACGATTGTTTTGACGAATACACGTTGTACACGCAAAAGATCCTGTTCTTGGAGTCACATGTCGTCTGCGAACCACGAGCTGAAACTCAGCGGCGCCTGGGGGGTGGCCATGTTTACCTTCGGGTCTGTGGTCTCAGGGGTCTTGGGGTGTCTTTTCCCGACAAAAAAGCTTTCTGCACATCCACCGCTGCTCGGCCGCTGCTCCGTTTTGGTTGTTCCCGAAAAACGCCGAGGCTTCTCTCCACACCGCGCTGCCCAGCTTGCCCCGAGATGTGGGTGGGCAGGTTGCAATGGAGGTGGGCGATGGTTTTTGTGAGCAGCTGGGACAGGAGGTTGAGGTTTCAAAGGTTGAAGACTTTCAAAGCATTTGGGTAACCCATCGCAACACGTTCCGAAGCGATTTGCCCTGCCCTTTGGTGTGCTTGGATATGTGGAATGTCAATTCAATGCATAGCCGCCGAAGCCTCCGCTTTCTTGTGCTGCATTATATACAGTAATCCAATTCTCACACACCGGTTTGTCTTTTCATGACTGGACTCACTCAGGGGCGAGGGTTGAGATTCAACGCCTTGTTCGATGAATTCTGCCTCTGTGGACCTTGAATAGAGGGAGAACCTGATCAGAGAAGCTTGTCTAAGAAGCGCCTACAATGGAAACATTCGCTTGAGGGCTTGGAAGGGAACCCTTCTCTGTGTATCCCTTTTCCAGCAAGGAAAGTCCAAGGAGCTCGACAGAGTTTCGGTTTTGAGGAGTTGTGGTGGTTCTGGTGCTCAAGTAGATTTATTGTTTGGACAAGCTGCATCAATTGAGTCCACCTTGAAGAAAAGGAGACACTGGGAGCTCAGCAAACCTAGAAATTATCCAACCATAGAACCATGTGATACACATGTAGAGCGTTTATATAGGCCAGTACACCTCCTGGAAGGTTCCACTTCAAGTCCTGCTGCCAACGAGTTCCAGACGGAAATCTATGAACATCTTGTCTAGGGAAGCACGCCTTTTTGATGGTTGGACGCATGCCAAATGCATGTACATGTATACACAGCTATAAAGTTTATACAATGTAAAAGACCTCCAAAACATCGCAGGAACCACACATGTAAAGCTTCTTGATCCTGAGGCAGTAGTATGAATTTTGTCTTTTGTAACAAGGTCTGGCTTGGATCAACAGCAGATCATCCAACTAGGCTTGGATTTTCAAGCACACGGAACTCCAACCTACTAGCGATGGCCTCCAACCAAAGAGCAATGGTCTCCTACCTAATAGAAATCAAAGTGCCAAACACATGAAAAGACACGAGATGGCCTCCAGCCGCCCCCGACGCCTTCGATTCATGGCGCCCCCATGGATGATCGCGCTGGGCGGCCATGGTGCTGGTGTTTGCTCTGGTGTTCGCTCTGGTGCTCGCGCGATCCCGAGCGGACTTCGAGACTTGGGATCCCGTGCCCTTGACGAACGTCAGCTTTGGAGAGCGGCTGGGGGGATTCCCGGTTCATTTTTTGATTTCTTTATTTCATTTTAGTTAAACGGGGGGGGGGCAGGTCGCTAGTAGGTAGGTGAGAGGTAGGTTGGCTAGGAAGTCGGTAGCTAGTAGAAGCTAGGGAGTCGCTAGTAGCTTAAGTAGCTACTACTGTCAGGACGCAGGATAGCTCACGCTTCTGCAAGGAAGCTTCCCCCGCCGCCCTAAAGGCGGCAAGAGGGAGCTTCCTTGAAGAACCGTTCGCACTATTCATTTGGTTGCTAGATTTTCAGGGAAACTTACTGTATATATATATATAACTTATATAACTGCACATGAGGAGGATGTTCTGCATTTGGGGACCACTTGCATCCTTACGACATCTTGCGTTCCTTGCAACAGGGTACGACCCAATGCACCCTGACGACCATGTTCTGTTCATCACGACGGATGTTTTGATGAGAAAGTTCCGGGTTACGAAAAGCTGCACTGATGAGATGTGATTGTGGTGAAAGGGCAGGACCAGCCATCGGTTCAGCACGAAGATAAGACAGCTGCCCCTTTGTCACAAGTGCTTGGTTTCAAATGACATTTCTACAGTTTTACTGGCCACTCAGCTCAGCAAGCGAGGTTCCCTTCCGCCCAATCTCAGCGAACTCTGCGGATGAGATTCCTGTGGGGCTGGAAGAACGGCGGCGTGTGTTGGCTGAGAGGGAAGCATTTCTCTTACAGGCAGGTTTGCAGGAGCGGGTGGTGCAAAAGGGTTGCTCCAAGATTTACAAAAAAGGGGAAGGTCACGAACGCTATTTTCTACACTTGGCATACCATTTTGCAGGAACCAGACGAAGAATCACAACATGAGATCTGGAAGAGTTCCTCTCTCCATCTTCCACCCTGAGGTGCAGGAGTGGAAGCATCTACTTGCGAACCGCTCACGTGAAGTGCGGTGTCGCAAGGAGATTTTTCGACGCCATTGGGCAGACCAGGACGCCGTGAGGATCCAAGGTGGTAAGCCCGGGAGTAGCGTCAGCTCAAGTAGGGTTAGACCATGCAAAGATGGCTGAAAGAGCCTCAGCCAATTTTGTTGTTCGTGTTGAAAGCCACGTTGGATAGCTTAACTCATGAAGTATGTAAGTCTGCAATATATACATATATATATATAAATAGGTGCCTTCCAGGTATGGGTCCTGCAAAACACAAATCACTCTTTCTGTGGACATTGAATCTGCAGAATCAAACATCTCCACTGCTTGGTATTTTGCTGACCTTGCTTTCGTGTTAGGGCTGTTAGGGTTTCCAATGCCATGTTGCCAGACTGAAGATAGATCATGTGGATCATGACCATTCCCCAGCACGATGCCTCCAAAGACTTTTTGGACGAACTGGCCGCCGTGGAGGAAGTGGCTGTGCTGCATTTGATCGTTTTCCGGCTGGTCCAAATCCAGGCCACGGCGGAAGTCGACGTCGCAGGTCGATCGCCACCGCACGGGAGTGCGAACGTGGGGGTCGAAGTCATCGTTTGCATCAAGAACTTGTAGCTTGGCGCCAGGAAGGTGAGGGGGCGAAGTCGTGGAAAAACCAAGGCCGAAGGGCCCAAGCGAGCCACGTGTTCGATATTTCTCAAAGCCTGGGTCAGGTGTCAGAAGATTTCAGAGGTAGATGCTGATTTGATGTGGGTGGGCTTCTAGATGGGGCAGTCTTGTTGCCATGCATTGCGATCAGTCCTGATCGAACACAAGCCGAGGACCTTTTGAGGCATTCAGAAAGGCCTTGAAACATCTTCAAACCATATCAACCACATCCGCCATGCTCAACTCATCCCAACTCAGCCCAACTCAGGAAGGCTGTGGCCGGCGATTTCCCGGTTCACGATGTGCTTCGTGCCTTGACGGTCTTGCCCGTGACCAACATTTGCCGGACGGCGGAGCCAGGCACCGATGTCCTCGATCGCCTGGCGACCTTTCTTGATGAAGCACCCAAGTCATCGACGCTCTACCTGGTGGTGACTTGGTGAAGAAGGTATTTATTGGTTCCATTTGCTTGGGTGAAGAAGGCCCCACATAAAGTAGAGTTGTTTGACAATACCTTGCTCAAACATGCTCAAACAAGCGCTGCTGGACAGGGATTTGGATTGAGTATTCAATCGTCCTATGTGAATCACCGGAGGGTGTTGAGCAAAGACCAACTTCCCCGAACCCTTGGGCAAAAACACATATGCAAAGGATATCAAAGGATCAGTTCAAGCAGCGCCCGACCATTCCGTCAGATGGAATCGACTCCTGACTCATCGACTCAAACCGACGGACCCCAACTCTCAGGTCTTCGCCACGAATGTCTTCTTCAACGACCTCCCCGACCGAAGCGGACCGGAGGCGATCCGCGCACGCTACCAGGCACTGAGCCCATCTCTAGGGGAGGCCTCTGGACACGTGGTGGTGGGCACCGCACGTTTTTGCGGAGAGGCGTGCGAGGCAGGGCCGCAGGGCCGGGGAGGAAGATGAAGGAAGGTGTGCAAGCCTGGACTTTGTCCACCCAGCACGAGCGCGAGCAGGGTTAAAAGGAGAAAAGTCTACTTATACCAGCACGATGTGATGCAAGGTGCATGGTTAATGTACTTTGTATTGGAGCTCTTCGGTTGCAAATATCACCACAAAGATATCGTCTGGACCTGATTGAACATTGAAAACCGTTGCTTTGCACAAGCAGACAAACCGTTGGGTCGGAGGTGGAAGATCCGCCCTATTTGGACGCTTCGGGTCTTTTGGGTCCAAAACAGTCGCTGCAGCGCCTCGTCCACTCGCTGATGCACGAGTCGCAGAGCCTGCCGAGCGGCCAATCGCCTGAGCCTGGATTCGCATAGTATTCGTCTTTAACTTGCATGCACACCACGGATGGTGAGGTTCAATTTTTGTGAAAGGAACAGAAAGTCTTCTTCTTTGTTTCTTGGTCTCCCTCCCTCCAAGGAACAGAAGGTCTTCCGCGGCTCTTCTTCTTGGATGGTCAAACCAAATCTGTCAACTTTTTTTGAATTAGAAATTATCCAGCTTGACCGGTATGCTTTTGGTTCACTGGGGTTGGGCACTGCCACTGCAAGCCACATTAGCAAAAAAACATACAGCTGCCGCTGCTGTTTGGGGTCGATGCTGGCGTATCTTTTTGTTTTACCTTTTCATGATTTGTACCTGATCTGTTTTGTTAAGGCGATGAGCTCTGACATTGGGATCAACGAACACTTTTGCTGGATTTCTCATAAATAAGCATGGATTTCTCTTTCCTATCTTTCGCATGGAAAGCTCCTCACGGCAGAACACTTATATCTTTAAGGTTGGGCCAGATGCCGGAGCACACATACACACCAACACAACACACCACAATCCATTTGGTTTCGCAGGATTTGATTTTGTCTAGTGATCACTGCAAGGACCTGAGCCACTTGCTCCGCAGCTACATCCGCAAATCCTTCAAACAGACCACCGAAACATCGTGGGGACCTTCTATTGTTCTGGACCGTGAGCAGAGCATCTTTGGACACTTCGGGGAGGTCGCGTCTGGTCAGCTGGCATTCTTCAAGACGCTTTTAGTGAGTTGTGCTTTTTTGAAGACACAGCTTCATCAGCAATCCATTCAATGGATGTTTGATTGGGGTTCTGGGCAAAAAATCATCTGGCGAGTGAGGAATGTTGAACCCATGGGCCGTGGAGGGTTAAATGCAATGGTCAGTGCCAGGAGTCAAGGGCTTGTTCCTTTGAACCGACCACGGTCCAGGCTTTGACTGTGGTCTGCCGAACGAACTTGCCCAGGTTTGTGCGCTGATGGACGGAACTGGTGCAGCATGGCGAAGCCTTGCTGTGCCATCAGCAATCGCTTTCGACACCTCCATGAGGCATCCAGCCAAACAGGACAACGATCTGGTCGATGTGGATCCAAGACTCCCAAAAATCCAAGAATGCTACTAGTAGCTTCTTGTTACTAGTAGTAATGGCCTCCAACCTAGTAGCGATGGCCTCCACCTAGTAGCTTCAAAAATCCAAGAATGCTTTCAAGCAGATGAAATGCAGGAATCCCTTTGTTCAGCAGATTTGTTAGCCGTGTCATAGAGGATCTCGAGTCGAGGGCCTCGTGCCCCCTGACTCTCGGTGAGGCTTTCTATGGAAGGTACACTGTGGAGGAGTGTGCCGTTGTCCGGGATGATGGGAAGGACTGGGATTCAAGGCTCCAGGGACGTCCAGAGCAATAGTTTGGAATGAGATCCAGAGCGATAGTTGGCATTTCCAGTTTGATTCTGTACTACGATTTGCTCAAAGGGTTTATTAAACCGAACAATTCTTCAACGACTTTGGAGCACCACTGTTTCTTTCGGCCGCATCCATCCCTAAGAGTACCGTAGCCGGACTGGCTTCGTGCTTGGCTTCGTGGCCAGGAGCCCAAGCAATGGCCAATCCTGTGGTCCGGGGATGGCACCGCCAAGTGGATGTACTTATTGGCCTTGGATGCGCTGGCCGTCTCGTGTCAGCCTGTGGCCCGCCTGGTCTTGCTGAGCCATCCCAAGGATCACTTGGAACGTCTCTTCTCCGCCTTCGAAGCCACACAAACTCCGGGCTCCATTGCGCCACGGGCCACGGAAGGGTCCTAGCGAGAGACGAGGGCAAATCCGGCCAACTGCCCTTGAGGCTTGGAAGAGCAAAAGCAGTACAATGATGGCGGTGCAAGCCTGCATGATCCTCTTCTACCTGACTGTGGGCGAAGTCTATGATGTATGGAGGTGCTCACCTGACCACGGCACAAGTCTTCATGGTGCCTTGTTTGCCACGATTGGCAGGCACGGCTGCGCAATGTCGGATCCACTCCAAAGTCAATGACTGGCCTTTCTTCACGCACTGGATTGCAGATTTCGTTTTCTGCCCTACATCCCTTGACCAGAGCGATCTCGAGATGAATTGGAGGGCCGCGTGCTGGAGATCATCGTCTGCTGGACGAACGGTCGCCGCGGGTTCAGTGAAAGAAGGGAGGGAACAGATGGGGGAAGGATGGGCGACAGGACGTTCTTGTTCCGTGGATGTTTTGGACGAGGATACTGGTCTACAACGGAAGTCAACTTCTATTGATCTTGAAGTTCACTCTGTTGGTTTTACAGTTTTACTGGATGTGTGTCGACACATGTTAGTCTTGTGTTGTGCTTGCAGCATGATGCCTTCTTCGAGCTTTCCTTCACTGGTTCCAGTTAAACCTGGCCTCAACGGCCTGGTTTGGACAAACTTCTGTGGATCCTGGCCTAGATGATCTACTTTTGCCAGCCTTGGCCATGATGGCTTCCAGAGCTTCTGACACCACTAGGGTGAAAGTGGGATCCAAACGGATAAAGGAAGCCCTGGAGCCTGCTCCTTCAACGGTTTTGAGCAATAGCACTCTGGAGAAGTCACTTAAAAAAGGCAGAGCCAATGGTTGTGGTACTACTCCAATTTCTGGAGTGTTTCTTTCAGCTCGAAGAGCTGTCCCAATGGCTCCACCTGAAACACTTTGAAGGATCGCAGTTCACACCACCCACGACCCACGACCGATGACGGCCAGGCGCTTCTTTTGGGTGGCCTCGACAGCGTCCGGGAGGTTCAGGCGCCCCCCGTCCTCGTCGAGGCAGCTGGGCGAGAAGCCCGGGAGCCCAGGGGGTCTGCGCTACTGCTACTAGTAGCGTCCTTGCTCCTAGTAGCGATGCCAGGAGCCCCTAGTAG